GGCCGCGAGTGACAGGCCCGGGGCGGAGGGCGGGGCCGCCGGCGGGGATGAGGTCATGCCGAGCGAAAAAAGCCCCTGACGTCACCTGCAGCCAATCAGCGCGCGCGGCTCGGGGGCAGGTGACGTCAGCCGGAGCTCAGCTTTGGGTGCAGATGAGAGGCGGCGGCCGCGGGGGGCGGGGGCCGCCCTCCGCCCTCTGCCCTCACCCCGCACCCCGGCACCGGCTCTTAAAGGGGCCGCGCGGTGCCTGCGACCCCACCTCCAGGAAGCCTTCCCAGCCCCGGCGCTCTGCCTGCCTTGCTTGGGGACTTGCAGCCCCACCGCGCACAAATTCGCGGAGGGTCGGGCAGACCCGGTCCTGCGCAAGGGTCCTCTCCTGGCTGGCCGAGCCAGAGCTAGCGCCGCCCCTCGGCCCCCTCCGCAGCCTTTGTTCGTGCGGGGCCTGCCGCCTGGAGAGCCTTTGCTAGCCCGGGGCCTGGCCGCGAGCGCGCACCGCGAGGCCCGCCCTGCGGAGCGCTCTCCTGCCTCTGCGCTCACCCTCTCCCCACGACTCCCGGAGGTGGGAACCTGGGTCTCCACTTCGTTTGGGAGAAACTGGAAGCTCAGAGGCTCAGTCACTCATGTCATGAATTCTGGTGGGTGGGTGGGGGGCCCAGTGCAGCGCTGTCCCCCCTAGCCTCACCGATGACCTCCAAACCTTGACGCTTCCAATGAAAAGCCACTGCTTAACAGTGCGCCCCTAAACAGCCCTCTCCGGGGCCCACCCCAACCGTGTGTGCTTCCCCCACCCCAATAAAGACTGTGGAGGGTCCGTCCCCAGCCGGTCCCTGCGGGAACACAACCAACCCGCCGCGTGGAAGCAGTGAGTCCAGAGCGGGAACAAACATAGGTAATTACACCTTGGGCAAGTGTTGGGCCGGAAGCACACAGGGGCCAGCGACACACTGGAGTGGGTGGGCGAGCCGGAGGCCGCCCCAGAAGGTGACATGCAAGCACTGACTGGAGGCTGAGGAGGCCTGTGGTGCAGGAGGGACCACCCCAGGCAGGAGAGGACCTTGTCCCCCCACCAGGAGGAGGCCAGCGAGGTGGAGAGGACATGCAGCCAGCCATCTATTGATTTGTCAAATATTTACTGAGTGCTTCTCCCGTTCAGGCCCTGTGCCACACACTGGGACTTAACTCTGAGAAAGGGGACAAAGACCCCTGCCCAGGGAGTTGACAAGCCCAAGGAGACTGTGAAGGTAATAATTTTGGGGGAGGCGTGACCAGACAGCCCAGACATTTCTAACCCCCTTCCCAGGGCTTCCTCCAGCCTGGAACCTCAGTCGGCACAGGTCTGAGAAGGGCTTTGTTCCCCAGGGAGTGCAGTCCCCTTCTCATGGGGGGAGGGCACTCAGACCCTCCCCCCCCCCAGCTCTGAGTGGAAAAAGGGGAGGGCAGCAGGTGAGTGCTGGCCAGGGCTCCGGAGGGGTTGGCCCCTGTCCCATACTCAGTTCTCCCCTCGGGACTGTGGGCTTCAGCCTTAGGGCTCTGCACACAGTAGGTGTTGAGTAAGTGTGTGGGGCCACCTCACCAGCTGGAGGAGCCTCAGGTTGCTGTGTGTATATGGGGTGTGCGTGGGGGTTGCCTGACTCAGAGATGTACTTAGGGTATACAAACATCTTGGGGGGTGGGGACACTGGGGCTGTCCCAGAGGAAGCACTGGGAAGGGGGGCTATCTGGGGCTGGGGCTGTGTTCAGGGCCTTCCTCCTTCCTGGCCCCAGGCTGGGCCCCAAGGCAGAGAAGAGAGGATTATGGCTGAGGGGTACCCTGAGCTGGGGGAGATGCCCAGCATGGATGCTGGCCAGGTCCTCAGTGGTGTGGGGTGCGGTGGGGCCTTGCAGCATTGGCTCACTCCAAGTCTGAAAAGTGGGGGTGGGGGGTGGGAGGGAAGGCTGGGCCCTGGAGGGGGCCAGTGAGGAAGGACCCCGAACAGTGAGGTTGTCTGTCATGGTTAGATAGAAGAGCTGTCGCCTGGGCGCAGGGGGCGGGGATATGCCCAACGCAGCTTCTTGCTTGTTACCAAGCCCAGGATGGGCCCATGAGGACAAGGAGGGGGTGTCCAGCTGGGCTCCTGCAGGAAGTCTGCGGCCAACTCTTTTTCTGCCTGGCCCAGATGTGGTGAGCGATTGTATGTGGCCTGGGGGTGCCCTTGGCCCCTCAGAACTGCAGCTGTGCTCTGGGCAGCCCCCAGCTAGGCCTGAGCTGGGGGCAGTAAATTGAGGGCTGGTGCCCCCTTCTGGAAGCTGTGTGTGTGTGTGTGTGTGTGTGTGTGTGTGTGTGTGTGTGTGTGTGTGGCATGCAGCTTATCAGGTTGCGCCTGGCCAGGGGACTATGTTTAGGCCGTGAGTATTTCATCACCCTAATGGCCATTTCTCATGCACACGAGCCCTTAAAACCTGTGGTTCCGAAACAAAGGGGTCCGGGGTAGGGAGGCATCCACTCTGGAGATGACAGTGATTATCCAAGGACACCAGCTCTGGCCCTAGGATCTTTCCAGTTCTGGGGACCTAGCCTTCAGGGTGCTTCCTCGCCCCCCAGCAGAGCGCCGGCCGCCTGGGCGCCGGGTGTGACCGGGTGGGCCCCGAGCCCCACGTTCCTAGACCCGGTCGGTTCTGCGGGTCGACCTCTGTTTCTTCTCTGCACAGGTGTGGAGCGGCAGGGGCGGCCTGGGAAGTGGGCCGCGCGGGGAAGGAACACCTCGCGGGGGCTACGGTTCCCCCGCGGGGCCGGGCCTTCCGCAGTGGCCCCTGTGCCAGGCGGGGCAAGGTCCAAGCCCAGCTGTCCGCGCGCTCTGGCTCCCGGCAGGTGATGGTGGCTACGCTGGTCTGGGCGTGAGGACCCTGCGCAAGGGCCGTCTTGTGGAGCGGGACCCCGCAGTGTCAGGGAGGCGCCGAAGCCGCGTCCCGGGTCGCGCAGCCGGAACTTCCCGCTCGCGGGGCGGGCAGCCCGGAGCGAGACCCGCGCACCGTGTCCGCACGTCGGAGCCCAGAGGTCCTGGCAGTGGCGGTCCGTGTGCGCCCTCTGCTGCCCGCCCGCACCCACGGGGAGGACGTCCAGGGCGGGTGTTTTTAAAAGCATCCTTGCCACGGAAAAGAAAAGCGGGTTGGTTTTTTCTTGTTGCTTTGCAATTCAGTGTTTCCACCAGTGACACAGTTAACATTTATCATGGCATTCCATTTCCCACTACCTGACTTTTTTTTTAAGTCAAGACATAGTTGACTCATAGTCTGGCTCTTTTTTTTTTCACTCAAGGAAATACTTTTTCAATTCCCACCGCTCGATGATAAATGTCTGTGTTTTATGGCTGCGTGGTGGTATTTGAACCAACTCTATATTATATGTTAGATTATTGCCATATTCCGGCTATTAAAACAGCACAATGAGCTGCATCCTTCAATATACTTTTCATAACACATTTCAGATGATTTTTTTCCTGATTTATTATGATATTAAAACACTTACAAGTAAACACAGGGAACAACATAACAAACACGCTCTCAGACCTCACAATGTCAGCATGTTTTCTGGTTTTTGCTTCTGGAAGACAACAGCTGGAACCCAGGTGCCTTCCCAGCCCCCCCCCCTCCACTCCTGCACCCCCTCCAGAGGCAGAGTCGTAGGCATCTTTCTGGTTCTGTCTTTATCGACTTACTGCATGTCTGAGTCCCATGTACAACAGAGACTACTTCCTTGTGTGCTTTTAACTATTGACACATAAGTATTGCAGTGCAACCATCCTCCCTCCCATTGCTTTTTGTCACTTTCCGGCCTGTTTATGCTCGTGCACGGGAGCCTGGTCCCCCCATTTCAGCAGCTGGGCAGGTTTCTGTTGTGTGCACAGACCACGTGCTTAGCCATTCCTCTATCCAGGGACATCCAGCTTGTTTGCAAATTATTCTACATGCAGCAGTGCTGCCATAAATGCACTAGACGATTTCTCCAGTGCCGTGGTTGTCGGCCATGCTACCAGCTGCGCCTGCATCGCCTGGGAGCAGGCTCTCAGCCCCTCCCCGAGCTGCTGAGCCAGACGGTGTTCTAACAAGTCCAGGAAAGGTGTGTGCACATCCAAGTTTTTCTTTTCCGTTTTCTGCATCACTCTAATTTTTTTTGCAATGATCATATAGTAAAATTGACTTTTTTTGTTGATGCTGTTATTGTGGTAATATATACATAACATCAAAGTTCTCATTTTCACCATTTTAAGCGCAAAGTTCAGTGGCATTAGGCATATTCACACTGTTGTGTGGCTGTCACCACCACCATCTTCAGAACTCTTTCCATCACCCCAAACTGACACTCACGCCCCTCCTCCTGCCCCAGCCCAGGCACCACCCACTACTTCCTGTCTCTGTGACTCTGACTCCTCAGGGACCTCACAGAAGTGGGTCTCACAGGATTTGTCCTTCTGTGACAGGCTCATTTCACTCAGCACAGTGTCCTCAGTTCCTTCCATTTCATTCCTTTTAAACAACTGAATAATACTCGGTTGTATTGACAGACCACATTTGTGTGCCCATCCATCCATCCACTGATTGACGTTTGGGCTGTGTCCACCTTTTGGCTGCCGTTAACGTTTTGCTATGAATATTA